GGTCCAAAATGCAGCAGCTAGAGTTCTTACTAGAACCAGGAAGTATGACCATATTAGTTCGGTTCTGACAACACTGCACTGGCTCCCTATTAATGCATGTTAACCAGGAGTCACTCTCATTTATAATCGCGGCATCGTCTGATAAAATCAACATGCATCTACACTAAAGAGCGGCTATGCGGTTGTTTTGGCTATATTACTTTTTTGTCTCATGCAGCGCACTGCCTGCGTCTGAGTAACAAAACAAAACAAAAAATGTTTGCATTATATTAATAGACGAACTATGCTCATATTTATTATTCCAAACAGTCAGTAAGCGACAGGTGCTTGGAAACGCTGTTTTGTTCTCATTTATTGACGAGTCGGCTGCGGTGCGTCCAACTGAATGCGCTGCTTCTCTGCCGCTCACTGCACAGAACAGACGCCGAGGTGACACTTCTCCGGGAAAGTCAGACCTCGCGTTCGCGGGACAGCACTGGCGAAATCTTCCAACTGAACCATAGCTAAGGTTTATCCAGAAAAGTCTCTAGGTTTGTCAGTATGCATATTCTATGGAAAAAAGCCGCTAAAAGGTTGCTAAATCTAGTGCTAAAGTCGCGCTCGTGTGTGTGAGACGCGGGAGCTGATGGCAGGGGGCGGTGGATATTTGTGGCGGTCAATGTGGATATTGTGGATGAGTTCTTCTGTGTCATCACGTTCTATTAGTTCTACAGCTTCAGTTTCTGAACTTTCACGCTTAGTGACACATACAGCTGTTCCCTCACCACAGTGCACCAGTGAAAAGGGACCCCTTTCAAACAGTGTCGCGTTCCGAATGTTGTTTAAGCGACATACACCGGTATTGCGGTATTTTAAAAATTCATATCATAACAAAAATAAACACCGGTATTCGGTATGAACCGGTATACCGCCCAGCACTACACTGAATTGTTTATTTATCTGCCTACACTATTTCAAACATGTTATTTGTTAAAGTGAAACTACTTTGGCTAAATATATCAAAATACAGCTTAATTTCTTTCTTGTTTTAGTAGCTGCTTTGTCATGTGGGAACATAGTTCATAGTTCAGTTGTGTTTCTCAACAGATGTCAAGTTTGACATTGATCTGCCCAACAAGAAGGTCTTCATTGAGTCAGACAAAGACACGGATGTCCTTCTGGAAACACTGAAAAAGACTGGCAAAACGGTGACCTACATCGGTCCAAAATGAAATATTATACATTAAAAACTGTAAGGTGAGAAGCAGATGTTTGAAATTCAAATGAATACTTTTGTTAATTGCAAAAAGTACTGTTGATTGTGTGGACAGAGGCTTATGAACCTAATAACAAATATCAACTGAAGCATTATGTTAAATCGTTTAAAATGAGGTTGTTGGTAGCTGGTCTAACAGGTATAGAAATATCTTTCGATTCAATAATAGTGTTTGACATGCAAATTAGGTTTCTTTATGATCACACCATTGAAACCAAGCCCTGACGTTTTCAGTCTTGTGATCAGACAAGACTTACTTGAAAGTCCAAAGTTGTTGTTTTTTATGTTACAGTGTAACATAATGGTTTTATTATCAGTTTCCATCCTCCTGTTAATTCACAAATCAAGTGTTATCTCTGCTTTTTGTATATTTTAACACTCTTAATATACCTGGATATATTTGTTTTTATGAGTGCATGGTCTCTTCTTTCTTTCAGGTAGTGAAGCTCTAGTGCTTTTAAGTTGTTCTTTTATTGTCATTTTTATTCTGATCATGGTGATGTTTCTGCAACACATAAACGCCCAGCACTACACTGAATTGTTTATTTATCTGCCTACACTATTTCAAACATGTTATTTGTTAAAGTGAAACTACTTTGGCTAAATATATCAAAATACAGCTTAATTTCTTTCTTGTTTTAGTAGCTGCTTTGTCATGTGGGAACATAGTTCATAGTTCAGTTGTGTTTCTCAACAGATGTCAAGTTTGACATTGATCTGCCCAACAAGAAGGTCTTCATTGAGTCAGACAAAGACACGGATGTCCTTCTGGAAACACTGAAAAAGACTGGCAAAACGGTGACCTACATCGGTCCAAAATGAAATATTATACATTAAAAACTGTAAGGTGAGAAGCAGATGTTTGAAATTCAAATGAATACTTTTGTTAATTGCAAAAAGTACTGTTGATTGTGTGGACAGAGGCTTATGAACCTAATAACAAATATCAACTGAAGCATTATGTTAAATCGTTTAAAATGAGGTTGTTGGTAGCTGGTCTAACAGGTATAGAAATATCTTTCGATTCAATAATAGTGTTTGACATGCAAATTAGGTTTCTTTATGCATACATACATACATAAATACATGTGTTACACCTAGATTATAAGATAAATTTAAATATATATGGCACTTTCAACTTGAGTTTATTCTCGGCTTCAGTGCTAAGGCTCCTAATGGAGTGATATATCTGGTTACAGCACAAAATCACATTTTTATATTTTTAAGCAAACATTGGACTGCGCGTATATTTTTAATTTCCCTCAGTTCGCCAGTAGGGGGCAATGTTACCCTTTCAATAAAACAAAACAATTTCACCATGCAGCATTCTTTAAATCTGATATCTGCATGCTTTTTTCAGGCCAGTGACCCTTGTTGGGGGAGATATGTATATATTAATGTAATGTATGTATATATTAATATCATTACTGCTGTATATTGTAATGTACTTTTGTATATTTTAAGTGTACTTAACACATTTAAATGTGGGAGGGAGATTTAAACACTATGTAAATACTAGTTTTCAAACTTGAAGTTTATATAATATTTTTGTATAATGCATACTTATTTTTTTTTCTCAAAAATTTGTTATGATTGCATATATATATATATATATATATATATCCTACAAAGAAGAGCCATATGAGCTGTTTCACAAAATGCTGTTAAGCAGAGTCATCAAGCTGCTGCCTATAAGAAAGTATTACAATGAGCAGCTCAAGGGACCAAGTTTCATTAAAGTACAAATGACTGTGCAAACTGCTGTTCATGTTGTACTTTACAAATGGGTGTTATATGTCCAAAACATATTTTTGTGTATTATCAGCTCCGTTTAGTGTGGAATACAGATCCACAAACTAAAAGTGAGTGTATTGTTCTCATTGATGTAGAACAGAATCTGCGGCTTGCCTTCTATTGTTCAAGCTGGTATAATTGCTAAGGGAGTAGCCTATAAAAGCACAGGACATGCTGACAGGCAATGCAGCTGTGCTGAACCAGGGCCGTCGTCAGGGGTAAACGACTGTCATGAGGGACCCTTTGAGCTCCTAGATGAATTTTAGCAACTGCACTGTATATAGAATATATATATTTATTTACTGATGTAACAATACCATTTAACTCCAAGAATAGATTTCAGTCTGGACAGAATGCAGCAATGTTGCAGTTACATATCAGTCAACAGCTAAGCAAAAGACGAGTAAAACCATCTTCTGCCATTCTTTTCAAAGCTTGCCTGGTTTTAAGAGATGGAAACTGAGATGGCAGCTCACTCATGTTGCTGTGATGTCAACACAATTGATCTTTTGTTGTCTGGAATGGCTAGTGAACAGAGAAAATGCAAGGAATGCTCAGAATCCAGTGACTGGAGACGCCAACGCAACTGTAACAAGTGTCAAAAAGATCTCTAGCGGCTGGATAAGTCAGTGAATGGCAAGGAAATCCCTTGTATGCAACGAGGATAGAAGTATGCATTACTGACCTCCTTTTTAAACAAAGAGCCAGTACTCACTTTTCTTTCTCTTTGCATGACAAATGAAGTATAACCACAAATCTGCAGTTCAGGGTAAATCCTTGATTGCCATCAGGAACTTTGTCTCAAGCCCATTAGTTTCTTTGAATTAATGAATCACCGTAAGAGACTGACTGTGTTTTCAGTGTGAAGCTGCAGATCACAAATACAGGCCATTAGCAAGTTATTACTGTGATCATTTCTGGGTGCTTGTTTCTGAGTTGATATGAAATAAAGCTTGTTTTTTTAAAAGTCTTTAATCATAATGCAATATTTTGCTTTTCCCTTTTGTGACTTAGCTATGCGGGCTGTTGGGTAATGTTTCATAGCTGAAACCATACACATTTTTGTCTTTATGAAATTTGTTGTGTAAGATCCAATAAAATTCCAATGGACAAAAGTCCCACGCTATATTTTCACATTTAACATCATCCACCTATTTTTATGCAAGGCTTCAAGTTATTTGCCTGTACAAAAACAGTGCGTTATGCTACTTTATATTGCAAAATGGTATTTTGTTATCATATTATTCCAACTTATCATAATCATAAACACACTGGCAGTGTTGAGGGTAACGCATTACAAGTAATGTGAGTTATACTTTACTTTACTTTACTTTACTTTTAGTCATTTAGCAGACGCTTTTATCCAAAGCGACTTACAAATAAGAAAAAGTAATTAAAACTAAAAGCTAAAACTCTATAAATACTATATATACACACACATTTAAGAAAATAAAACAAAGAAATGCAAACAGCAATTCACACTGACGACTTATACAGTAGGCACTGTTTTAAGCTGCTACAGAAAATGTAAACCTGACAGCAGTTCTCAGACAGCCTTAAATGATGGAAAGATTAAGAAAGTCAGCCGTATTTACCTTAGACGTGTCTGTTTGCCATCATCATGCTCTGCAGACAGAAATCACCAGACACAATATGTCTGCTCCATATTGTGATATGAGGGCTTCGTGCTCACTGCATGAGAGTAAATGTGTATCCTGTTCAGTTTTTAAAAACTGCTAGCAGCATATTCTTTTAATAAGGATGAAAGGGAGTAACTATACATGCAGTAGCTAAATTTTTGACTTATATGAAATAAAACATTTTTTCTTCAGTCATGATCAAAAAACAAGGACAAAAAGAATGTTATACATTTGAAATAACATATAGGCTACGTTTAAATAATTACATACATTTTATGACTGTGAAATACATTTTATGGCTTAAAACACATTCTTAATGTTTTTAACTGGCTAATTTAACACATTTCTAATGGTTTGGATTGGCTAATTTAACATTTTTTGGAATGTTTTTCAGTAATGATATTTAAAAAAAAAATCATTTCATGCTGGAGAGATTTTTTTTTTTTTTGGCTTAAATGAAAGTTGATTTGTAGTAAATGCACCATTAAAGGCCACTGCTTATGCCTGAATGTCCTCAGCTGACCAGCCAGCAGGGCAGCCAGATTGAAAATTACTGTTAGATTCTTTCTCAGGACAGGCTATAGAAAATAAACATTAAACACATTTTTCCAGTCTGCTCTAATGGTCATCTAAAGCACAAATTCTTCAGTACTTTTATAGTGTTGATATCAGACACGAGTTTAGCAAGACAAGTGAGCAACACGTCAAGTACAGTTCCTAAATCTATTGCAAGAGCACTTTGCTCCAGACACGATCAATAAAATTCTAAGAATTTCAGTGAAATTCAGAAATGTAATACTTAAAGATAACATTTAAAACATACACACAAAAGTATCATGTTCAGACACAACCGTTTGGTGACAGGCTCGAACAGGGCTTACCCTGTTCACACCAACACCTTCACAAATGAACTGCTACTGTTTCAGGACTCAGCATCCACTCACTAAACTGAGTCCTGGCCAAATCCAGTCTCAAACAACTGCTGCTCTATAGAATATTTGGACTTTTTCGCTATGGTGCTTCTGAAAACAGTACTTTTTTTTTTTTTGCAAAGGATAAAATCTGCTGAAAAATGCCTCTTGGGGCATTGAAAAATAATTCCATCCTTTCTCAAGATTTTGAGCCTGGAAGACGTGACTATAGAGTGAGATGCCATGCAGGTAGAGACAAGTCAAGGCAAGAAGCATCCAATATATATACTGTAGCAGAAGCACAGCAGTACAGCACACTGTTTTCTAATTATTGTGCAGTCTTCTTAACAAATGCCCAGCGTTTTCAAAAATAAGAAATAAAATAAGAAATTACTTAGATTTATGCTTAAAACAACTCTTGAGTCACATATTTATTTATTTCTCTATTCATTCATTGAGCTCAAAATAATTTGAGAGCAGTGGTGGAGGGTTGAGTTTAGTGACGAGCAATCAGATTTTTTATTTTTTTTTTGCAGTGTGCATGGGTAAAAAAATGAAACTATTACCCTCAATTTATATAGTCCATGAGTAAATTATAACAGGTTTGCAGTTATTGGTTATGTGCTAAATTAGCTGTTAAAAAGCTTAACAGATGGAGCCAAAACTGAAGCTAATTATGAACACTGGGGCTTGATTAAATGCCGCTTTAATTTCTGTCTTTAAATGATGTTTAGTAGGAAGACTCTATGGATTATTCATTCCATTCAGATTTCAGAAGAAAGCTGCTGAGGT